GTGCTAGTGAAGCTAGTGAGGGGAGTGCTTTAGTGAGGGAAGTTTGTTCGTTAGGAGATTGTGCTAGTGAGGGGAGATTGCTAGTGAGGGGAGTGTGCTAGTGAGGGACATGTGCTAGTGAAGCTAGTGAGGGAAGACATCTTTACCCTACAGAAAATTATGCCCGGTTTAAAGGACCGGTTTGTTCGGCCCCTGAATAAGGCACGAATATTTTCAATACGGTATAATCACTGAATGTTTCTTTGTAAACTAAATGTTTGTGAAGGTTTGTACTTTGCTTAGAGTTTACTTTGTGGTGATATTATAAGATGATCGACTCATGACACTCCCGTATATATACATATATAAATATATACTAAGTTATATATATATATACCTGTATATATATATATATATATATATATATACCCGTATATATACATATATAAATATATACTAAGTTAAGCTATAGTACGTAGCGTGTCATGCGTGTTATATATATGGCGTGTTAGGTGTGTTGTCATGCGTATATTTCCTTTACTTCATCCTTCTTTCTTTTGTCATTTGCATTAACCATTCCCTAATTTCTATGTCATTATTATTATTTTATTATTATTATCATGTATTCATTAAATGTATTTTTTTTCGCCCTCGGATCCGATTTTCCATTATTTTTATTGTTATTATTCCCGGCTTTTAATTATGATGTTTGTTAATCCATTATCTTTATTCTCCCGTTATTGCATTCCCTCCATGCAAGCCACTGCCTCTATTCCTCTCCTTCATTCCCTTGTATTCCATCCCTCCTTTCATTTCATCCCTCCTTTCATTTGTATTTCCTTCACCTACCTCCCTTCCTTTCCCCATTCACTTCATCACCTCTTAACCCTTTCTTAATTATAATGTTTTTCTCTCATTCTTTAATATTATTTTATTAAGATGAAAGTTTTTACTTTCAACTTAGAAAGTTGGTGAAAGTTCGAACATTCTTCCTTTCCTGGATTCTTTTTGATGAGTGGGCAACCTTACGCAAAAAATTAGTGAACGCAAATAAATTAGTGAGTTTTTGTCCAAATATCGATGTACTTTCTGCTTTTTTGTGAGTCACCCTGACCCACTTGACCCGACAAAAGGCGTATCAGAAAGTGAGTCAATATTTTTACAATATAACTTGGTCATTTATTGTATTTCCGGAGTTTTTTTATTGAATTAATTAATGATTTATCATGATTATCATTCATTTAATTATGATGATTGCTTATCATGATTATCATTCATATTATTATGATGATTGCACCATAATGATTGTTGTGATTTAATTGCCGCAAAAGTTTGACTATTTGTTCACGTGTGTTCCCTGAGTGAGATGAATGAGTGAATTAAAACAAGGCAATGAAATTTCATCGTGTAAGTGAATTTTTTTCTCACCCACCTTCTTACTTTTCTTACTCTTTCACTTTCATCCATTCCTTCATTTTCCCTCCCTGTTTTTCACTATTCCCCTCTCACCCCTCTCTTTCCCCTCTCTTTCCCCTCTCCCCTCTCACCCCCCTCGTGTACATACCTAGCAAAGAAGATGAAGAATTAATTAGCTTTTTAATTAATATTTGGTCTTGGTTAATTAAAATATGGTTAATGTTTCGATGGAGGACCTCATTGCCACGGCGGGTCATGGGGTCCACGGCCACGGCGGGTCATGGGGTCCACAGTCACGGCGGGTCATGGGGTCCACTGCCACGGCGGGTCATGGGGTCGGCGTGAGAGACGGGTCATGGGGTCGGCGTGAGAGACGGATGCCACGGCGGGTCATGGGGTCGGCGTGAGAGACGGAGCCTTATTTTAAGTGCATATAAACCATGTGTTATAGGCGTATATATTCTATGCTGTTCAATGAGCCTGTTCTATGTTATTTTTAGGCCTAATTAAATAACCGGAGTGGGGATCTTTTGAAACCAACCGACATAAACATCGTATACCGACATTTAGCATAGTTTTCCCGACATAAAAATCGTTTGCTGACATTTAGCATAGTTTTCCCGACATAAACATATGCTGACATTTAGCATAGTTTTCCCGACATAAACATCGTCTGCTGACATTTAGCATAGTTTTTCTGACATGAACATCGTCTGCTGATATTTAGCATAGTTTTCCTGACATAAACATCGTCTGCTGATATTTAGCATAGTTTTCCCGACATAAAAATCTTCATCGCCACGATAAAGTCGCCAGCAAGTAGCCAATCGTATGTCTCTTCTCTGATATCGTGTCGATAATATCGTTAAGAAGTCTTTAGTTCGTAAGTGTTTTGTTCAAATGTGCGTTGGCTTGTAAATATCAAGTGTTCAGAAGAGGCATTCTATGTTCGGCTCTAATAAAGCCATCGCGATTTTGTAGGCCTTTCTTCTTTCCGTTTTCTACGGAAAGAAGAAAGGCCTAAAAATTTTTGTCTACTTTTGTCTACTTTGAAATTCCAACTAATTTAAGTTATTTGCTTTTTAAAGTTCCCGGCGAGTTTATTGTTATTATAATAATGAGCATTATTTATTTGAGAAGTTCTGCATTACGATGTTTGATGCAAAGGAGAAATAGTGAAGTCGAATTCATTAGAGTGCGTCCATTTGGCTCGTTATAGTGACGCGGTACGTTTAATGATGTATAACATTTTGCTTCACTATAATGTTTAATGTGCATGGACATGACGCACATAACACTAGTCATGTTAAGACATGTATTTATGATGCATGCCGCTTCATCACACCATCATTGTGATGATAAGTCAACTCAGTTGACTATGATGATTAGATCGGCTGAGTTTCGGCATGATATATATACATATGTCAACTAATTATTATGTGTCAACCTATATTTTATATGGAAACCTATACTTTAAAGGGCAACCTAACTTAATGTGTCAACCGATATTTTGTATGTCAATAATTCGTATGCGTTGAATAGCCGATGAAAAATTCACGAGGTTTTCTGAATTAATTTTTCTACTGAACGGAATTCGAAATTCTTTGCATGAATCCAAGCAATTTATTCATTGTCTTACGATGAATCTTGGATAAGGATGAATTTATAAGACATTGCTTACTTGAATTAGTCTGAATAGTTAAGAGGAATTCAAGAAAGTCTACCGTTCTTTTTTATGTATTATTAAGTGAGAGAAAGTGTGTTTGTATGGGAAGGAAAGCTGGAAAGTTAAAGAAAGTCGACATGACATAAACTAACTAATTTTCCTTCCCTTGTGTGTGATTTGAATAAAGAATGAACGTCATAGGATCTAAGCCAACTATTATTATAAATAATTACAATAAATTATCTTATTAGTTGATAATAAATCTTAAGATAAGATAAGCCCATCCTCGGAAGCTTTGTAAAATGGTCTGTAGAATTAAGCTGATGTTCAGGCGTCAAGATTATCTTTATCTTAATTTTTTCCTCCTCTCACTATCTTTGCTGTATAAACAAATCGCTGTTTTAAGAAAATTATCGTAGCGAAGTAGGTTATTTGATGTAAGAAAAGATGGCGGTTCGTTATTCTTGATCTGATTATTTGGTAAACAATTCATATTGCTTTCTTTGTGTCGAACAATTTCAATTTCTTAATGCCGATTTTATTAAATTTAATATTTCAGTTGATGAAAAAAATGTTTTTTGACAGTGTATGAATTTTTTAATTCAGGTAATTTGAATCAAATTCGAACTGAGCTGTTGCAAAGTCATTTTAAACGTTGATATTGGAAATATTTTAGTTACTCGAAGCATTGATCTTCGCTATTTTTCCAAGAGTTTCCACGAAGTAGGCAAAAAATTGAAATTTTTGTGTTCAGTAATAAAAAGCGCTGAATTTAAAAATATTAATTAACCAACGAAAGATCGCTATCGATCATTCGTATTAGCGAGACGAGTTTGATTAAAATTTGCATAAATTCTTTTGCCTTCAGAATGTTGGAATTTATAAGATGTAATCAGTAAAATTTTGAATTTTTCAAAGAAAAAATACTGAAAATTTTTTGAAAAATTACCCCCCGCTCACTTTTTCTCTTATCAAAAATAATGTATTTAGAAAGAAATACTTCCAAAAGTTTTTGAAAAAAAATCCCCTGCTCACGCTTTCTCTTATAAAAATAATGTGTTTAAAAAAATACATATTCCAGAACATTGATCAATTTTTTCTGTCATTTTTTATTTTTTTATTTTTTTTTTATTTATTTTTTATTTTTGTGGTAAGCGCGAGAGTCATTAATCAATTTTTTTGTCATTTTTTTATTTTATTATTATAATTATTATTTTTATTTTTGTGGTAAGCGCGCGAGTTGTTCAGCCGAGCGCTGCCGTGGCTGCGTTTTCTGCAGCATCTTCTTCGTTATTTGCGACGCTCGCCTAGGAGCTTGAGTGAATAAATGTCTTTTATTTGAAGCCTCTTTCATATCCTTAATATATTAATCTAGCATCTTCTTCGTTATTTGCGACGCTCGCCTAGGAGCTTCAGTGAATAAATGTCTTTTATTTGAAGCCTCTTTCATATCCTTAATATATTAATCCTGAATTAATATAATATTCATATATTAATTAATCCTGACTAACATGGCGGTATAATATTCATATATTAATCCTGACTTAGATGGCGATATAATATTCATATATTGATTAATCCTGACTAACATGGCGGTATAATTTTCATATATTAATCCCGACTTACATGGCGATATAATATCATATATTAATTAATCCTGACTTGGAGGTATAATACTCATATATTAATCCTGACACATATGGCGGTATAATATTCATATATTAATGAATCCTGACTTACATGGCGGTATAATATTCATAATATTCTCACTTAACATCAGTATTTTGGCCATTTAAGTATTCGTCTGAAATCCCAATATTGTGTAAAATTAATATTATTATGCCCCGTTCGTAGAATTAGCACATTCCCACAATCCTGCCAATTCCCAGAATTCTACGCAATTCCCAGAATGCTAAGCAATTCTCAGAATTCTATGCCACTCCCAGAATTTTACGCAATTCCCAGAATTCTACACAATTCCCAGAATTCTATGCAATTCCCAGAATTCTATGAAATTCCCAGAATCCTACGCAATTCCCAGAGTTCGACGCAATTCCCAGAATTCAACGCAATTCCCAGAATTATACGCAATTCCCAGAATCCTACGCAATTCCCAGAATCCTACGTAATTCCCAGAATTCTACGCAATTTCCCAATATTCCAGAATCCTGCCAACTTGTCACACTTCGCCGAAGTCTTCGGGATATTAATTTTTCAGATGGAAACTTGGCAGTTGCATTTGACAGATCACTTGGCAACTGCTGTCAAGTGCACGGTATCGTTGCAGCTGACAAGGAACACGTCAAGTATTCAACAGAATCAACAGTTTCATCAACGTTGAACTTTCCCGCAGTTGAAGCTTGCACGGAGAATGAAACAACAAGTTACGAAAAATTTAAGAACTCTACACTACAAAAAATTAATGGTACATTGTGTCCAAATATTGACACACTTTCTTATCCGTAGCACTGATACGCTCTTTTGCCGGGCTAAACTGGGTCAGGATGATTTCCCCCCACATGAGCTTGTCCCCCGTGGGGTCCGGGGGGGTCCGTTTGCCCCGCCCCCCCTTCTTGCCCCCGCGCCTGCGCAGAAATTCCTGTGCCTCGCGCCGCAGGTCCTCCTCCGCCTGCGCCGCCTGCCGCAGCTGCTCCGCAGTCTGCGTCTGCCAGGAGATACTTGCAATTTAATTATTATTAAACGATCATTATTCATAATTACATCGGGGAAAATAAGTATAGATACTCGCACTTTAATTATTATTAAACGATAATTTTTCTTAATTACAGTGGGGAAAATAAGTATGTATTCATGCAATTTAATCATTTTTAAACGATCATCTTTCTTAATTACAGCGGGGAAAAAAAGTATTTAGTCAGTCACCAATTAACATAATAGGTAGACCTCAACTATGAGAGACAAAATTTGAAAAAAACAGAGAAAATTATTTTGTCGGCCTTTTAACACGTTGACTCTGAAGTGGTACATATGCGTACCACGAAATGTATTTTTCCAGAACGTAGTGGTACATAATTCAGGGTTGCCAGATGGCATAAAAAACGGCCAAGTCCGCGAACAAAAAAGGCCTGTACCTCAATATATATACTAGTATATTTGTAAGTTCCGGTGTAGAAATTCCATTTATTATTAAATTTAATTAGGAAGTACCCCTATCATAAATTTTAGCCGGCCAACCCTTTTAAAAAACTAATTTGTGGACTTTTTCAGGAAAAAATACCGTCTGGAAACCCTGTTTCATAATAGTACAAAAATGAAATAATAGTACAAGACGAAGCAATCGGAGTCAACGTGTTGAAGATGTTATTTGCAAATGATGGTGGAAAATAAGTATTTGATCAATAACAAAAGTTCATTTAAATACTTTATCGTATATCTTTTGTTGGCAATGACAAACGTTTTCTGTGAGTCTTTACAAGGTTGGTACACATTGTTGCTGGTATCTTAGCCCATTCCTCCATGCAGATCTCTAAAGTATTGATGTTTTGGAGCTGTCGGCGAGCAATACGGACTTTCAACCATGGTTGAAATAATACATGTATTAATTCAACCATGCTTTCAACTCCCTCCAAATGTTTTCGGTGGGGTTGAGATCGGAAGACTGGCTAGGTCACTCCAGGACTTAGAAATGTTTCTAACGAAGCCACTCCTTTGTTGCCCTGGGCCTATACTTTCAAAAAAAGTTAAGAGATCGTAAGTTCATCAGCCAATCATTGACGGCCTTTCGAGCAAAATACACCAATCATAGATAAGAAAATAGAGCGTAAGTACTTACGCTCACTTAGCGAGTTTTGAAAGTATGGCCCCTGGCAGTGTGCTTGGGATCTTTGTCATGCTGAAAGACCCAGCCACGTTTCATCTCCATTGCCCTTGCTGATGGTAGGAGGTTTGAACACAAAATCTAAAGTTACATGGCCATATTTATTCGTTCATCTACACGGACCAGCCGTCCTGGGGCCATACATTCAAAACTCGCTAAGTGAACGTAACTACTTCCGCTCTATTTTCTTGTCTATGATTAGTGGATTTTGCTTGAAAGACGTCAATGATTGGCTGATGAACTTACAATCTCTTAACTTTTATTGAAAGTATAGACCCTGGTCCCTTTGCAGAAAAACAGCCCCAAAGCATGATGTTGCCACCCCCATGCTTCACAGTTGGTATGATGTTCCATGGATGAAACTCCGCACTCACTTTCCTCCAAACACGACGAGTTGTGTTTTTACCAAATAGTTCTACTTTGGTTTTAAATGACCACATGACAATCTACCAATACTCTGATCCTCATATTCTCATGAGGGTCAGAGTATGAGGGTCATTCGTGAGAGTCATTCGTGAGGGTCAGAGTATGAGGGTCATTCGTGAGAGTCATTCGTGAGGGTCAGAGTATTAGGGTCATTCGTGAGGGTCAGAGTATAAGGGTCATTCGTGAGAGTCAGAGTATTAGGGTCATTCGTGAGGGTCAAAGTATTAGGGTCATTCGAAGGGTCAGAGTATTAGGGTCATTCGTGAGGGTCAGAGTATTAGGGTCATTCGTGAGGGTCAGAGTATTAGGGTCATTCGTGAGGGTCAGAGTATTAGGGTCATTCGTGAGGGTCAGAGCATGAGGGTCATTCTCATATGACATACTCTCCCAATACTCCGACCATATGACATTCTCCCTCTGGAACATCCAACTGCTCTCTAGCAAACTTGATACGTGCATGGATATGGACTGGCTTAAGCTGGTCCATATCCATGTCCATTAAGCTGGTCTTGCGTCGTAGTGTGTTGCTGATGGTAGCCTTTGTAACGTTGGTCCCAGCTTTCTGTATATGGTTCTGGGATGTGGTTTCTGTATGTGGTTCCCCTGTATGAGGTTTCTGTGTGTGGTTCCTATATGTGGTTTCTGTATGTGGTTCCCCTGTATGAGGTTTCTGTATGTGGTTCCCCTGTATGTGGTTTCTGTATGTGGTTTCTGTATGTGGTTCCCCTTGTGGTTCTGGGATTTTTCCTCACCGTTCTTGTGATCGTTTTGACCCCACGGGCTGAGACCTCGCGTGGAGACCCAGATCGTGGGAGATTAGTAGTGGTCTTGTAGACTTGTAGGTCTTCCATTTGCTGATTATTGCTCCCACAGCAGATTTCATCACGCCAAGCTGCTTGCCTCTTGCAGATTCAGACTTCCCAGCCTGGTACAGGTCTATAATTCGGTTTCTGGGGCCATACTTTCAAAACTCGCTAAGTGAACGTAAGTACTTGCGCTCTATTTTCTTGTCTATGATTGGTGGATTTTGCTTGAAAGGCCGTCAATGATTGGCTGATGAACTTACGATCTCTTAACTTTTTTTTGAAAGTATAGGCCCTGGTGTCCTCCGACAGCACTTTCGTCTTCATCATAATGGAGTTTCGAGTGTGACCGTTTGAGGTTGTGTGTCTTTTATACAGTTAACGACTTCAAACAGGTTCCATTAATACAGGTAATGAATGGGGGAAAGTGATGTCTCTTAAAAAAGAAGTTACAGGTCTGTGAGAGCCAGAAATCTTGATTGTTTGTAGGTGACCAAATACTTGTTTTCCACCATTATTTGTGAATACATTTTTTTAAAAGTCCGACAAAATTATTTTCTCAATTTTTTTTCCTTTTGTCTCGCATAGTTAAGGTCTACCTATGATGTCAATTACAGGCATTCTCATCATTATAAGTGGGAGAACTTGCACAATTACTAAATACTAATTTTCCCCACTGGAATTATTGTTGTTGTATTAGTACGTACTGTTCATAATTAATCACCACACTAAACCTGAAGAGGAATGACCTCACATGACCTCCAAGAAGGAATGACCTCGTATGACTCACTGCTGACTAGGAATGACCTCGTATGACTCACTGCTGACGAGGAATGACCTCGTATGACTCACTGCTGACTAGGAATGACCTCGTATGACTCACTGCTGACGAGGAATGACCTCGTATGACTCACTGCTGACGAGGAATGACCTCGTATGACTCACTGCTGACGAGGAATGACCTCGTATGACTCACTGCTGACGAGGAATGACCTCGTATGACTCACTGCTGACGAGGAATGACCTCGTATGACTCACTGCTGACGAGGAATGACCTCGTATGACTCACTGCTGACGAGGAATGACCTCGTATGACTCACTGCTGACGAGGAATGACCTCGTATGACTCACTGCTGACGAGGAATGACCTCGTATGACTCACTGCTGACGAGGAATGACCTCGTATGACTCACTGCTGACGAGGAATGACCTCGTATGACTCACTGCTGACGAGGAATGACCTCGTATGACTCACTGCTGACGAGGAATGACCTCGTATGACTCACTGCTGNTATACATTAGGATTAGGTAATAGACAGAGGTATAATACGATATACAGAGGTATATATAAGGTATATAGATATACAGAGGTATATATAATACGATATATATACAGATAATACGATAATAGATACAGATAATACGATATACAGAGGTATATATGAGGTATATAGATATACAGAGGTATATATAATACGATATATATATACAGATAATACGATAATAGATACATATAATACGATATACAGAGGTATAAGCTACGGCGTCGACCGTAAGGTCGGAGAACTCTACCGACGAGTTACATCGCGGAACGCTTATTTATATAAGCTACTGGGGGGCCTTACTTAAATAAGGTTGCTAGCCCTTATATAGCATTCGCTTCCGCCCACAATTAATCCTACCTACATAATAACTTAATGTAAGGAATCCTACAAACCTACATAATAACTTAATGTAAGGAATCCTACAAACCTACATAATAACTTAATGTAAGGAATCCTACAAACCTACATAATAACTTAATGTAAGGAATCCTACAAACCTACATAATAACTTAATGTAAGGAATCCTACAAACCTACATAATAACTTAATGTAAGGAATCCTACAAACCTACATAATAACTTAATGTAAGGAATCCTACAAACCTACATAATAACTTAATGTAAGGAATCCTACAAACCTACATAATAACTTAATGTAAGGAATCCTACAAACCTACATAATAACTTAATGTAAGGAATCCTACAAACCTACATAATAACTTAATGTAAGGAATCCTACAAACCTACATAATAACTTAATGTAAGGAATCCTACAAACCTACATAATAACTTAATGTAAGGAATCCTACAAACCTACATAATAACTTAATGTAAGGAATCCTACAAACCTACATAATAACTTAATGTAAGGAATCCTACAAACCTACATAATAACTTAATGTAAGGAATCCTACAAACCTACATAATAACTTAATGTAAGGAATCCTACAAACCTACATAATAACTTAATGTAAGGAATCCTACAAACCTACATAATAACTTAATGTAAGGAATCCTACAAACCTACATAATAACTTAATGTAAGGAATCCTACAAACCTACATAATAACTTAATGTAAGGAATCCTACAAACCTACATAATAACTTAATGTAAGGAATCCTACAAACCTACATAATAACTTAATGTAAGGAATCCTACAAACCTACATAATAACTTAATGTAAGGAATCCTACAAACCTACATAATAACTTAATGTAAGGAATCCTACAAACCTACATAATAACTTAATGTAAGGAATCCTACAAACCTACATAATAACTTAATGTAAGGAATCCTACAAACCTACATAATAACTTAATGTAAGGAATCCTACAAACCTACATAATAACTTAATGTAAGGAATCCTACAAACCTACATAATAACTTAATGTAAGGAATCCTACAAACCTACATAATAACTTAATGTAAGGAATCCTACAAACCTACATAATAACTTAATGTAAGGAATCCTACAAACCTACATAATAACTTAATGTAAGGAATCCTACAAACCTACATAATAACTTAATGTAAGGAATCCTACAAACCTACATAATAACTTAATGTAAGGAATCCTACAAACCTACATAATAACTTAATGTAAGGAATCCTACAAACCTACATAATAACTTNAAGGAGGGACAGGTGACAAGGAGGGACAGGTGACAAGGAGGGACAGGTGACAAGGAGGGACAGGTGACAAGGAGGGACAGGTGACAAGGAGGGACAGGTGACAATGTAAGGAATGCTATAACCTACATAATAACTTAATGTAAGGTTACATTATAATTTTATTATACAACAAAATTATTTAAATATATATAAGGCATACGTAGAGTGTACTTAAGGCCAACACAAAGGTGCTATCAGAAATAATTTTTCCTTATGTATAATAATTGATTTTTTTTCATTTGGTTGCATTATTATTATATTAAGTATACAATTGTTTAAATATATATAAGGCGTACGTAGAGTGTACAAGTAGGAGGCCACAGTGGCAGCGGAAGCGGAGTTTGGCATCACAGGGATGGCAGTTGCCGGTTATTGAATATCTATATTATTATATTGAATATCTATATTGAATATTATGAATATCTATATTATTAAATTATATCTATATTGAATATTGGTAAAGTGAATATTACGTCTCAAGTACATATGATCTAATCATACACTATAATTACAATGATTATAATGAGACGCATGATTGACAGCGGAATTTTATAAAAAAAGGGGTGCAAAATAATGGTAAAATAATGCAGCGGGAAGATAGGCAGTTATTACATGAAAAAAATTAAATTTCACTAATTCATTAATTAAACAATAGTTATAATTCAGTTTTTTATAAAAAAAACTTACCAGTTTATAACAGCGGTTGCCGCAGCATTTTGCGGCCTCGACATCTTTCTCGGCCAACTTCGTCCACTCCGAACAACTGTAAACACACATAAAAATAAGAGTCAAATAGTCACTATTTTATTTATTTACTCAGGTTATAATTTATATTTATTTATTTATTATTTTTTCCATATTTTATTCAATTTATATTATTATTTATTTACTCAGGTAAATAAATGGGTCAAATGGTCCACCTGTAAACACACATAAAAATAATGGTCACTATTTTATTTATTTACTCAGGTTATAATTTACATTTATCTATTTATTTTTTCTCATATTTTATTCAATTTATATTAATATTTATTTACTCAGGTAAATAAATGGGTCAAATGGTCCACCTGTAAACACACATAAAAATAATAGTCACTATTTTATTTATTTACTTAGGTTATACGGTAATTTATATTTATTTATTAATTATTTTTTCCATACTTTATTCAATTTATATTATTATTTATTTACTCAGGTAAATAAATGGGTCAAATGTTCCAGATGAAAACACACATAAAAATAATAGTCACTATTTTATTATTTATTTATTCAGGTTATAATTTACATTTATTTATCATTTTTTTCATATTTTATTCAATTTATATTATTATTTATTTACTCAGGTAAATAAATGGGTCAAATGGTCCAGATGAAAACACACATAAAAATAATAGTCACTATTTCATTCATTTATTCAGGTTATAATTTACATTTATTTATTTATTTTTCATATTTTATTCAATTTATATTATTATTTATTTACTCAGGTAAATAAATGGGTCAGATGGTCCAGATGAAAACACACATAAAAATAATAGTCACTATTTTATTTATTTACTTAGGTTATAATTTATATTTATTTATTTATTATTTTTTTCATATTTTATTCAATTTATATTAATATTTATTTACTCGGGTAAATAACTGTGTCATATGGTCCAGATGAAAGTAAAATAATACGAAACTAATCATAATAATGCTTGCAACAAGACGTTTTAATAATTAAGTTATGCTGGAAAAATAATTCTAAATACTCGATATTCGATTCTTATAACGCTTTACATGTGTAACTTTTCTGGTGAGGTGACAAGGAGGGACAGGTGACAAGGAGGGACAGGTGACAAGGAGGGACAGGTGACAAGGAGG